CCCTGTTGAACTCGAAAACCACCAAAAACAACCTAATTTTCTAGATAATAATGTTACTAACATTATTGAATGTAGGTTATAAATTTTAAGTACATTGAAAAGAAGCAACAACTTATATTTAACATAAATCAAACTAAAAAATTATTTATAGTATTATCACTGGCGTATTCAAAGGGCGTAATCAAAGGGTTTTATGTCGTGCAAAAAGAATATGTTTGCAAAAATACCTCAACAAGAACTTGATTTTTAAAAATAATTGTTGAAAACGGGCATGATAATAAAAAATATAACTAAAATCGCCATAGACTGTATAAAATAGATGAAAAAATTATTAACTAACTGACGACCAATAATTTGTAACGCTACAAAAGATTTCAATTGTTGGTTTAGAATTTAAAAAAAAAAAAATAAAGAGACATTTACATCAGCTCAAAAACTAAACAATTTATTATGTAACAATAGAGCAAAACTTTCTCTAAATACAAACCCAGGCGTCTAGCAAACAAAAAGTTGTTGCAGCTTAGTTTGGTAGACTCCTGGATTTTTATATATTGTTAATTTACCATGCTGAAACTAAAACAAAAATTGTATCGAGATGTAGAGAGCACCAGAAAAATTCTAAAAAAGAAACTGAGCCATTTTGGGTGCTACTGAGCATTCCAATTCATGCCAAAGTAAATTTGACTAGTTAAAATCATATCAGTTGCTCCAGATAATCATATTCGGAAAATTCGAGAATCCCTGTAACTAGACAAAACTAAAGTTCACCAAGAGTTAGGAAGTCGCAAAAATGTTTTTACTAGGGATGAACGTCACAACAAAAGGTTGAGGGCCATTTTTTATCACATGCATATATGTATTTATCACATTCGTATATGTATGTATAAGTGGTATTTAAGTTTTAATTAAAATTTCTATTTCAGTTTCTATTCAGTTTTTGTGGCATTGGTTTAACTTCAATATTAAAGCAATTTGTTAATATAATACAATATAAATAATGGAACAATAATTGTAAAACAGTCATTAACTACTCAATTGAATTGAATTAAGATGAGAATTTTTTTGAAACTATAAGAAAATAATTGCTTATATTTCAATCACATACTCTTGTTTAGTTTTATAAAAAGTCTTACCCCTAATGATGTTTTCATCATCTAATTAATTTTATCAACTCTTTAGTGTCTCTCAATTTCAGTTTTTATTCACATCAACGAGATTGATTTTTACATATAATTATGCATGTACACATATAGGTACATACATACAAGCATATTCAAAACAATATACATTGTATAAATTATTTTTTTAAAATTTTTTTTTAGATTCATAGCAAATAACAAGTTTTAAATCAATATAAAAAAAGTTATCTTTTAAAACATTTCTAAAATAACTTCAGATATTTTCACTATACTTTTATAAACTTATGTTTGTTTTTAAATTTTTATATAAAATTGCTATTAATTAATGGTTTTATAAATCCATTATTATTTTATTTTATGGAACATATTTAGCGTGTGTCAGCAAATATTTGAGAATCAAACTTACCACCACCCTTTTAATACTTAATCAGAAGAACAATTATATTGTCAAATTTACTTTTTTAAACAGTTTTAGAGAAGTATTTTTTTTTATTTTCTATTTAGATTTTATTAACCATGGAAACCAGGTTTTCTTATATCAAGGAAATATTATTGGTACACTCGATGTTTTGCAGAAGGAGTACTTTGTCTCTTTTGATATTTTTCCTAAAACATACACTAAAGGCTGGAAAAACGTTATTCATTTAACTCAGAATAAAGATTTTGGAGATTATGGTGATAGAATTCCAGGCGTTTGGTTTAATGAAGATGGCTCAGGAAAACTTTCCATTCGTACTGCGGTTAGGGGCGATAATAACTTCAATGTTGAAACAGATCCTCTTCCTTTAAATCAATGGACTAATATTAAAATAGGCCAAGTTATGCGTCATTATAGTTATTGGTTTTTTGTTTATTTGGATGGATTCAGAATTTATATTGTTGAAAACACTGATGCTAGAGATTTTAAAAACGTTAAGGTATATGCTTCTGATCCTTGGTATGCTGCCCAAAATGGTCTTATTTCTAATATACTCATTATTAATGGAAATGCTGGTAAGAATGACATATTTTTTTTTATTATTTTGGCATTTTATTTTGTTTTTTAATCACTACTATAAATGAAAATAAACATGTTTAAAAATACAAAAGACGAATGATAATACAGAATCTACAAGAATCCGATCGGATGAATTGCACAAGTCCCTGCAAGATCTACTAGTATCTTTTAAAAGTTTTTGTAGGATTTATAGTTTAAGGTAAAATATAAAAGAATGTTTAAGAGATTATGTAGGACTAATATAAGATTTTTATAGGATGCTACAGGCAAATTGTAGATTTGTATATGCACTATCCCAATTGGTATTGTCAAAAATAATATCATAAATCAAATAATCAAACTAAAAACATACTCTTTTATGTATTTATTTTGAATGAAAGGGTAATATGTTTATTCGTCTTTTTTATTACTGAAAATAGGTAGCTTAAAGTTTAAGTTTGCATTTTCTTATCAAAATAAAAATTCATTCTGTATAATATAAAATTTTTCCGTATTAAAATCTAAATAAATAGATAGGCAGATATTACTAAACTTAGTCTTTTGATAGAGAAAAACTATCTATATAACTTTATATACCAGAAATATAGCAGACACAGATCACAACACAAAACTGTGTACAACAAGTTATGAATAATCGGATAACAATAAATATCACTTAAACATGATACTTTGTAGGAAATATTACACCACTATTGTTTACAGAACAATTGCATCATAATTGTATAATAGTTATGAGACACAAAATCACAAGTGTATGGCTTTTAATTTTTCTTCATATCTAGACTTTCTCTGGCACACGTTAACGAGTAATTTTCCAAAACTGTTGCTAGTTGCTATTTGAGATCTCGCATTGCAGTATCAGGAACTGTGATTCTATAATAAATAAAGAAATAAAAATAAATAAAGATAAATATCAAAATGTCAATTTTCTCTCTACTGTGTAAATTGTGTAAATAGCTAGTTCATTAAGGCACTAAATTAGAATAGCAGAGCTTAATCATCAACGATGAGAAATCGTTTTATCATTAGTTAAGCATTTATTCAAACTTCAAAGATGCCATAAATAGAAACCAAAAACAATTAATAAACTATGAGGGTACTTGTAGATTATGATTAGCTTTCATAGGGTACTCATAGCATATGATTATGTGTAAAATTGGTTTTAGTCTTCATTCTATTGCTTTTTATTTGGGGGTCGTCCATAAACTACGTCACGCAGATTTTGAAATTTTTTGACCCGTTCCATATCCAACCCACCCTCCTAATGCATTAGTACCACTTGATTGCCATCCTCCCCCTCTATTACGTAACAACTTTGTACCCCTTCTCCTAATAATTTTTTTTTATAAGTTCATTTATAGAGGAGGGGGAATGCAAAATTTTATAAAAAACAAAACAATTTTAAATACAAAAATGTCTATATAACTCTCTGAGCTTCTTTGAGTTAATTAATTAGTATTTCTTAGTCTATATAGAGTTTTTTTTTCCACCCCAAAAGTTCCGTGTAAAGTTGTATAAACTTACATCGCTTTCCTGAACATGATACTAAATTTATAAATCTTTTATTCTTTCAATTTATAATACATGCAAAATATTATGTATATATATATATATATATATATATATATATATATATATATATATATATATATATATATATATATATATATATATATATATATATATATATATATATATATAACATATTTACACCTGATGATTGCATTTAGCATAAAACTTATAGTTGTGAAAAATATGCAGTTTTATTTTGAATAATATATGTAAATAAAGCTCTATTTTAATTTAAATCATTTTAATTTACTTTAATTCATCAAGCACTCTCGCAATTATTTATGCAAGCACTAATACGTATACATACATATATATATATATATATATATATATATATATATATATATATATATATATATATATATATATATATAATATATATATATATATATATATATATATATATATATATATATATATATATATATATATATATATATATATATATATATATATATATATATATATATATATATATATATATATATATATATATAAAACGCTCCTGACAAAAAGTTGGTTGAGCACTTTTTTGCATCGATCCCACAAAATAGAAAAAAATTTTTTTAACTACTCATTGAAAAATGTTTCTGTACCACAGAAAACTAGTTATAACTTACACCTAGTCGAAAACTTTATAAAACGAATGCGCTGGAAAACAATTTTTTACAACAACAAAAATAACAATGCGACAGAAACAGCGGAAACCTTTGGATTTAAAACAAACAAAACACCACTACAATGGAAAGAGCTTGAGCACGTTGAAGCCGAATTATTTACTTTAGTAAAATTAACAAAATTTAAGAAAGTTTCCACCAAATTCCGAAAAAAAACTAAAGAATGACATATCGACCATAAAATCAAATCCCAATATCTTGATATTTGCAGAAAAAACTAGAAATATTTATGAACTACCTCCCAAAGACCACGCTAAACTTCTGAAAAAAAATATAACTAAATCATATAAAAAAGCACCATTAAAACTTGAAAACGCAATAAACCTTGAAGCAAAAAGCAAAACAAAAACAATAAATATATATAACAAATCTAAAATAATTGCCAAATGAGAACCGTTCATCACTCTAAAGGACCATAAAATCAATTTTCAAAATATAAAACCTTGCCGCCTATTAAATCCAGCAAAGAGCGAACTTGGCATTGTAAGCAAAACCTATATAGATAAGATTAATAAACACACAAAAAGTAAATTAAAATTAAACTATTGGAAAAATACCGCTGAAGGTCATCAATTGATTCAAAAGCATAAAAGAAAAGAAACACTGCACTTTTATCCAACTCGACATCACTGAATTTTACCCATTCATCACACCCACACCCATCCATCACACCCACACCCATCCATCACACCCACACCCATCCATCACACTCACAATTCTAAAAAATGCTCTAACGTTTGCAAAACAACTTATAAAAATTAGCGAAAAAAAAATCAGAACAATTATCCACTGCAGAAAGTCTTTGTTATATTTTAACATCGAAACGTCAAAAGCAAAAAAAGTCAACTAACGACTGCTTCTACGTCACAATGGGTTGTTACGATGGAGCCGAGGTTTGCAAGCTGGTTGGTCTGTATATATTATATTCATTATCCGAAACTGTGACCAACAGCGATATGGGCCTTTACCGGGACGACAGACTGATAATAATGCGATATGCTACGGAATGATAATAATGTCAAAAATCTGCCGCGCAGATCGATAGAATCCGAAAAAATATTATAAAAATTAAAAAAAAAATCGGCTTCCAAATAGAAAATACGACAAACCTATCAATTGCTAACTTCTTAGACGTTACATTTAACCTTGAAAAAGACTCATATCATCATTTCAAAAAATCAATTAGCAAGCTACTTTACATCCACACCGAGTCCAACCACCCCCCACAAGTTATTAAGCAGATTCCGATTGCTATCAACGATAGGTTATCCCAGAATTCTTCTGACAAAAAAATATTCAACTCGGCAAGGGCAGAATATGAAGAAGAGCTAAAAAGAAATGGGTTCAAAGATTTTAGCTTCAAAAACAACCCTAAAATTGATACCAAATTAACCCCCAACCGTAAAAGAAAAAGAAATATAATCTGGTTTGACCCACCATACAATAAAAACGTTCTCACAAATATAGGCAAAACCTTCTTCCAATTAATCGACAAAAACAAAATCCGCTTCCTAAACTAATTACGTAACGCAACAAAAGTTAGCTACAGCTGTACAAGCAACATAGCAAAAATTATATAAAACCACAACAATAAAATTATTTCGATGAACCCAACGGCCACTTTAGCTTGCAATTGCAACTAAGCAAAACTTGCCCTATGAATGAAAATTGCAAAAAAACAAATGTAATTTATAAGTGCATTGCATCATTCCCAAACACACCCGACAAAACATACATTGGCTCAACAGGGGGCATGTGGAAAACTAGACGAATCACAAGCAATCCTTCAAAAATGAAAAACTCACTAATGCAACCACGCTTTCTAAATATATATGGGATACACAAAAAATACAAAAAAAAAACACCCAATTTAAAATAGCCCATCATAAAATATGCCCCCGCTTACAATAACATTGCCAAAAATGCTTCTTATGCTTATACAAAAAACTAATTATTTTATTGTATAAAAGTCCTCAAAAATTATTAAACAAAAAGAAAGGAACGAATATCTAAATGTCGCCATGAGAACAAGTTTTTGCTGGACAACCACAAACCAAAAGATTAGATTTTTTAACTCATTTTTTTTTTACAGATTTGTTATTTTTTTTACTTTAGAAAAAAAACATATTTACATCTGATGATTGCATTTAGCATGAAACTTAAAGTTATGCAGTTTTATTTATAAATAATATATAGTTTTATTATATGTATTTTTATTTATATGCAAATATGCAGTTTTATTTATAAATAATATATATATATATATATATATATATATATATATATATATATATATATATATATATATATATATATATATATATATATATATATATATATATACTAGTGGGCATAAAAACTCATTCAACCATATATATATATATATATGTATATATATATATATATATATATATATATATATATATATATATATATATATATACATATATATATATATATATATATATGGTTGAATGAGTTTTTATGCCCACTAGTATATATATATATATATATATATATATATATATATATATATATATATATATATATATATATATATATATATATATATATATATATATATATATTATATATAAGAACAGCATTTTAGAAAACAATTTACTAACCATTATTGAACAGATTTATTTCCCAATACAAAATTAGTCAGGTGGAAACATCAATTAAAGATTTCAACATCGAAAAAGATTATACCTAGAATGATGATTTCTTCAAAAAAAAAAACATTT